GTAAAGGCTTGGTCCTGTTTTGTCTGGGGTCCTCTGTAGTCTCCTTCCCTTTAGTACCTGGGTCTTCACACTGCTTGCTTCATGGCCAAAGTTACCAAGTAGCAGAGGCAAGATTTGGACTCAGGTGATTTGGCTCTGAAGTCTGTATGATTAGCCCACCAAGCTTTGCTGCTTCTCCAACCTGGCTGTGTTCTGGGCCTTTTCTGGGTGGTGACCAGAGGTCCCTGGACAGGGGTGAGCATCCCACAGCCTTGCAGTGCTGTCTGGGGGTCCCTCACAGTATCTGTGACAAGGGCTTGGGGCTTGGTGGGCTGCTCCCACCTTTATCTCCTCTTTGCCAAGACTTGAATCCTTTGAGGTTTTGCAATCTTCTCACGTTCTTTGATTTTTTTTTCTTTTCCACCTAGAGGTCTGAACTAAGCCAATTGGTCCAACTAGTGTTCCCCCTTTGGAAGAGCTAAAAAAAACAAAACCCCCAGAGCTGAAAAAAATGCCGGTTCTGCTGCCCTCTGGCGTTCAGTGGGGAGACGGCCGCACACACAGCTCTGAATGCAGGTGGGGCAAAAACACTTGTATCTGTGGAGTAGAGCCTACTTCCTTTGGTGAGAGGAGAAGGGGAAATGGGAGGTGCCATGCATTTTGGGGGCCGAACAAACGCAGTGACTGTATTTCCAGAAGCAAGCAAGATGGACACACTGACTGAGCTAGAAGTATATTTTCACATCCCCTCTGGCCAGCCTCAGCCCTTCACAGCATTCTGGTAGGGCTTGAAATACAACACCCAAAAGGGATTACAGCAACAAGTGAATCCAATACCCCACGTTGTATAGAAGGGGGAAACTGAGGCCCAAGATTAGAAAGCCTGTTAGTACCAGAGCTTGACTGTGCACGGGCTTCTGACCCCAGTCTCCCTTCTCTCCTCTTCCTCTTCCTCTTCCTCTCCCTCCTTCCTTTCTTCTTCCTCCTCCTTTTTCCCTTCCTCATCCTCCTCTTCTTCTTCCTCTTCCTTCTTTTTCTTCCTTTTTTGTCACCATGATTAAATTCTTCATCACCCTCATGGTTAGTACAGAAAAGCACTTACAGTGGACCATTCACTGTGCTGAGATGTGTCACATTTGCTCTAGTATTTAATTCATGCAAAAATGAAGTAATATAGAAAGATGATTCTAATCCATATTGTGGATAAAACACTAAAGCTCGGAGAGATGAAATACTTGCTCAATTACACAACAAAGTAAGTAGCGGATTTTCTAGTCTCGCCTGAAGACTTTCTACTCTGCTCTCTAAGCTAAGGTCAGGGTTAACAAAAATTCCCAGGAGCTTGCAAGTGAACAGTAACAATATTTACTATGTACCAGTACTGTTCTTAGTGAACACACATATTCACTTGCTTAATTTTATACTGTTCCAATCAAGTAGTACGGTATAGTGCTATCATTATCCCCATTTTTACAGTTAGGGAGACTGAGGAACAAAGATGTTTCCAATTTTGTTCTGGGTGCCACAGATAGTAAGTACAGAGACAGCATTACAGCCGGAGGTGGACGGCCCTGTTGTGCTGGGTCTTGATGATTGCCGGACTGACTCTCCCTGAGACAAACGGGGAGCCAGTTCTGGGCTAAGGACGGACCCTGGCTATCCCAGATCCCCTTGAGCTATGGCAAGGCAGTGGCAGGGCACCAAGACCCTCCCTCTGGGGTCTGGAGTCACAGAATGATATATGAAATAGTATCCCCCTCCCTCTCCATCTTCTTACCCCACTTTCTTCTTCAAGAACGTCCTGGCATTGTTATCTATTTAAATGTATTTATTATTTCTTTCTGGCCGCCCACTCCCACTAAAACGTAAGCACCGCAGAGGTGAAGACTCCCTCAGTGTCTAGTGCCCTAGTAGTAGGTGCTGAATATCTATTTGTGGAATCTATTTCGACAAGGTGAAGGGTGCCCCAAGTCAGAAGGTTGGTGACAGCAACACAAGGCTGGCTTGCCCTGTCTCTGGGGGCAACTGTGACTGCTGGAATTATGGATGATTCTCAGGCAAGAGAGAGAACGAATGAGTGGGGAAGGGGTGCCCTGGAAGAGAGGTGATGGGATGGTGACATTCTGGGGAAGCCAGAAAGGTCTCAGAGGGGATCCTGAGCCCTGGCTGACTACAGTAGATGTCCTTTCTCAAGTCCTTCCAAACCTGAGTAAGGAATAGACCCCATTTTCAGTGCTGACAACAGAGGTCTATTGTACAAGATAAAGCAGTGGGCTCAAGAAGAAAAAAAAGCCTGGAGAATGTTCCGGAGACAAAGTGGGAAGCTGGGTGCTGTGCTAAGTGAGCAGAGCCTGGTGCTGAGTCATCTCAGACTCCAAAGTCTAGAAGTTAGGACCCAGGAGGTCTATGAAGAGACTTATCCTCCTTGTTCCTCCACACCCTCATCTATAAAATGGGGATAGTAATAACACCCAGCTCCTGGGATTGCTATGTGGATTTGGGTGAGGTGGTAAATAACTCATCTAGGACAGTGCCTGTCAGCTAGCCAGTGCTAGGTAAGGCTTAGCTGGCATACGACTGCAAGGTCTGTTCCTGTGACTGACCACAGAGAGCCAGCCTTGAGAAGTGGGCTAGGCTTTAGGGGCATGGAGCCTCCAGGTGGTAGACGGCGAGGACACTCGGGCAGTCAGGCTCCAGAGCCCAGCTAACAATGTGCTCTAACCCCCAGAGTGGCAGGGTGGATTCATGGTCACAGTGGAAACCACCGAGTCATCCAGGCCTGAGTTTGAATCCTGACTCCTCTGTTTCCTAGTAGAGGAAAACCTGTATTTGGGTTTGCCACCTAACCTCTCTGTACCTCAGCTTCCTCGTTTGTGATCTGGGGAGACCAATAGTACCCGCCTCACAGGTGAAATATTTAGAACAGCACTCAGAGTTACTTTTTATCACTCATATATGGGGCAGACAGCCTTGCACCCCACGTCTATGGAAACAAGGCTCTAAATGGCCCTTTGTTAATGCTGTTGAAATAAGCATCTCGTTTTGGTGGACTGTGGCTGATTTCTTGCCTGCCTCTTCGATGTCATCACGGGTGGCGTTTCCCCAGTCTGGCCACTAGATGGCAAGCGTGTGCTTTCCCGCCCCACCTGAGCAGGGCCAGAATCCGAAACAACCTGCCTGAGATGAGAAGCTTCCTTTTATGGGCGAGACATTGTGCTGCGCCCTTTGCCCGCATTCCCATGTACTCCTCACAGTAATACTCAGATTAAAAGAGATATTCCACCAAAATGGTAAGCACGGTGGTAGCTGGCACGTGGTAAGGCTTCAAAAAACATCTGCTACTCTTCCTATTATTGTGGCTGTTATTCTCATTTTTACAGTTAGGATTGAGGCACAGAGAGCAAAAGCAAGTAGATGCAGCCTGGATTCCAAGCCAGACCTTACTGATTCCAAGTTCAGCATTTTTTCCTCTAAACCTCGTTTCAGGGGAAGAAGCATTGGATGCCTTGGCCTCCCTTCTGGCTCCCCTAGCCTCCCATGTCCTGGAGCTACCACTTTCTTACTTCTTGTGTGGCCTTCAACTAGTTATTTATACTTTCACAGCTGCAGTTTTTCATCTGTACAATAGGGATCATGATGCCTTCTTATTTTGGAGATACTTCAGAAATCAGAAACAGCAACTAGACCAGAGTTGGCGCTCCATGGATTGTAGTTACTGTTGTGAATGCCTTACAAGTTAGCATGCCCAGAGTTCGTTCGTTCATTCGTTCATTTGTTCCTTCCTTCCTTCCTTCCTTCCTTCCTTCCTTCCTTCCTTCCTCCATCACTTCTCACCCCCCACCCCCAAGCCCTCCCTCTCCTCCGGGCACCTGAACTGCAAGGCACTCATGGTTTCTCCGTTCATGGACCTTTCAGTCCAAAATGTCCTAGACTCTGTTCATTCCTGGAACAATTCCACCCTCCATGTGTCTTCTTCCCCGTAGGCCACACAGCTCAGGCCTCATCTACTCCCCCACTAGGCTACTCCAAAAGTAAGCCTGTAGGTTCTTTAGGTACTACAAGGCACTGTCAAATCCTAAACTGCCTGACTCCATTCTGTTTCATCAGTGACTTTCAAATTGGCTTGGGTATCAAAGATTCTGCCAGGATGATGCCTGGGAAACTTTGGGAGGGAGATATGTGATAGGAAGATGGGGTCTCATGGGCTTATCCTTGCATAAAACAGAACAGCTCTGGTTTTATCTGATTTATATTCTGGGGTTACATGTAATACTCTGCTACTAAAGAAAACCATCAAAAACCACCCCACTATACCATAATAGGTGGGAGGGAGGTAAATTTTGAGATAATTCAGAGAAAATCTTCAGGAAAAAGAGTATGTTTGGGAAGATGTTTTAAAATTATTTTCTAAGGTGCTAAGTGAAATAAACCAGACAGAGACAAATAATGCATGGTATTCCTTATATATGGAACCTAAAAAAAAAGCACCAAACTCATAGAAACAGACAGTAGATAAGTGATTGCCAGGGGCTGGGGGCTGGGAGAAAGAGGGGGAGGTTGGTAAAAGGGTATGTTTCAGCTATAAGGTGAGTAAGATCTGGGGACCTAGTGTAAGACATGGTGACTGTAGTCAATAACACTGTATTATATAATTGAAACTTGCTAAGAAAGTAGAACTTAAATGTTTTTACTAACCCCGAAAAATAAATATGTGTGTGTTAATTAACTAGATGGGGAAAATGCTTTCATAATGTGTACCTATGTCAAATTTCAATGATGTATACTTTATCTTATAATTTTGTCAGGTTAACCTCCACAAAGCTGAAATTAAAAAAAATTATAGTTTCCAAGAAAAATGGGAGTTAACTTTTGTATTATAGTAAGTTGGGGGTTATATGGGACCCCATGTTCCCCCCATTGGTTTGTCTAATTGGGGCTGATCCATGCTTCTGACCTTGTTGAGGCCTTTGGCCATGTCCTGCCAATCTTCAGCTCAGGACTTTGCCCTTTCTGTGTTTCAGTGCCCTGGTTCCCAAGAACCATTCAAGAGCTCGACAGATTTGCCAATCAGATTCTCAGCTATGGAGCAGAACTGGATGCAGACCATCCTGTGAGTCTCCGTGTCGGTGGCCCTTCCAATCAGACCCTTTCAGTGCTCCTCTCCCTGACCCTACTCCACTCCCTGATCCCCAGGAATGTGTCTTCATTTGTTTGCTTGTAGGACAGACATTTGTAGGGTGTCTTCTTATACATCATCACTGCCATGGTTATCATGGTCGTTATTATTGTTGGCGCAAATATGGATTGGCCTCCGGAAACTGTTGTTTATATGTATATATATGTATGTATGTATGCACACATACACACAAACACACATATATATGTAAATCATCTTTCTTTCTGTCTTCAGACAACTACAGAGGTTTAAGTCAGGGGTTTGGGAAACAGTAAACCACTAACAGCTCTGCCAGGTACAGCAGAGCAGTGGTGACATTGGAACTAGATCCTAAACCCTGAGTAGAAGATGCTGAGGGAACAGTATTGTGCAAAGACTCAGTGTCCTGAAAGTATACAGAATATTTTGAAATGCAGAATATTTTGAAATGACTGGCTAGTGCATTAGGCGTGAGGGCCAGATTTTAAAAGGTCTGATGTGGGGCCCCTGGGTTGCATAGTCAGTTAAGCATCTGACTCTAGGTTTTGGCTCAGGTCATGATCTCAAGGTCCTGATCTCAGGGTCGTGAGATTGAGCCCTGCATCGAGCCCTGCACTGGGCTCTGAGCTGAGCTCAACGAGGAGTCTGCTAAAATTTCTCTCTGCCCCTCCCTGTGCTTGCTCTCTCTCTTTCTCTCAAATAAATAAATAAATCTTTAAAAAAGTAATAAAAAAAAAAAGGTCTGATGTACCAGACAAAGAACTCAGACTGTGTCCTGTGTCTGGTGGGCAGGGGAGCAGGTCCCCTACTGGTTTCTGAGAAGAAGACCAGGATGGGGGAACTTCACCATTTTTTGTGGGGGTGGAGGATTCCGGGGAGGAGCAGCTCAGGCTGGACTCAGGACGAGGGCCAGTTCTGACATCCTCCTTAGGTGGAAAGTGCCACCATCACATGGGCTGTCACTTAATCTCTGCCCAGGCAAATGGCTTCTTCATCTTTAAATGACTTGGAAGCTGTTTTCATTTCTAGTGGTTTAGTGTAACTGAGTGAGAGTGTCTACATTTCATCTGGAGTCTGTTTTCTTACATCTCTGTGGGCCTTCACAGTTGAGTAAGTTGTGAACTTGATCTTCACAAAGGCTCTTTGCAGGAAGCAAAGCAGATGTTCCCATTTTACAGATAGATTCACTGAGGCCCAGTGAGAGTAAATGACTTTTCTAAGGTCCTGTGCTAATCTTTGGGTCTTAAGACTCTTACCCCGGTGCTCACAGAGCCAGAAGACAAAGGTCCAGTCCAGTAGCAGAAATTCCAGTGCTTTCCCAGAGACAAAAAGAGAGTTATTTCTGGAGTTGGCTGGTCTTTTAAAATATGAACACATGTTGCTTATTTTCATTCAAATAGTAAATCCCTCATAGTGGACTTAAAAATACAGAAAAGCATGAGGGAAGAAAATGAAGATCACCCATGATTCCAGTTATTTCTCTTTTCCTCTTGATGGTATTCTGCATTTTTTTTTTTACAGTGAGAAACTATTTTATTAACAGAAACAAAGGTGAATTCCCTCCTGACACCCAGACTTGAAACTAGAAAAAAAAAATCACTTATTGTCACACTGTCTTGAAATAATTGGTGTTAATTTTGGTGTGCTTCCTTCCTCCTCTCCCCATCTCTTTCCCCCATCTCTCTTTCTACTAATTAGACATTAATATGAATTATTAAAATTTTAAACTATTAAATTAAATTATACAACTATTATATATATAATTTTTCATGCATTGCCATAACTTACTAAGCAACCCCCAATGGCAAGCATGTTTCTAGTCTCCCTATTAGTTTTCTGGCCTGTGCATCTTGACAAGGATGCCCCATAGCTTCCTTGATTCTTACTTGTGAAACTACTTAGCTCAGGATAGGAATCATATTTCAGTCTCCTAATAAATATATACTTAAGCACCTTCTCCCCCAAAAACCTAAAGGTAAGGTTGGAGGATTTTGATCCCCATTCACCTTCCTGGGGATGGTGCAGCCTTCTCCTGTGGGGCCCAGGGGCAGTAGACGCGCTCCAGAAGAGGCTCCAGATCCCCTTCGACAGGTCTTTGGCTGTGGGCCTTGGGAGCAAAGCGTCTGCAAAGAGATCATTCCTCTGGAAAAGCCATCTGGCCACCTTGACCCAGCCCATGGAAGCAGCCCATCAGGGTGTTTCCTCCTCTTACCAGCCTCCACGCTTCCTGCCTTAACCCAAGACCCTTCCACTGGCCACACTTGCTGCTCCCTTGGGGCAGAGGGGAAAGAGAAGAGGCCACAGATGTGGACATTTCCATCTTCTTATCCTTGTGTCTCTTCAGGCAGATGAGCTGGTCTTCAAATTCCCTGGAATTCATTTCTCCGTACAGACCCAGCCCACATTTTTGGTTCCCTGGCCTCTCGCTCTGATGAATTTTATCATAAAAGAACAATTTTGTTAGGTACACGGTCTTCCCGCTGAGGAGGCCAGGCTCTCTCTGTTCCTTCATCAGAGCCTGGGAACCAATGGGCCAAGGACAGAGTAAACCCTCCAGAGTGCGTCCCCACACTCCCTCAGGCCCCACAGGCCTTGGCTGCCATGTGTGAGAAGTGGCGGGTGTTCTTCCCGAAAGGACCCTCTGTTCCACTCTGTCCCCGCCGCAGTACGCTCCCCTGCCCTTGGCAGTGTGCACTGATGTTTAACTCAATATCTCACTTCAGGGTCTCCAAAATAACCACTCTGAGAAATGCAGCCAAGGAAGGATTGTTCCTGCAACAGAGGGTAAAGGGCATCTGCCTCCCAGGGTTAGCTAAGTGGGAGAATGAAATAAGATAGCTGCATTCCTCTCAGCCTTCTTTCTGTTGTTGCCAGTGTCCTGCCCTCCATCCTCACCTTCTGCCTTCCTCCCTTCCCCAACTATTTACTAAGCAAGTGATCCTGGCAGCTCGCATTTCTTGAGCATAGACTGTGTGCCAGTCACTGTGCTAAATGCTTTACCGGCATTTTTAAAATTTAGGTGTGATAGCCATCCTGGGAGCGTTGTTTTCTCATTCAGATGAGAAATTTCAGAGAGGGAGACCTGCGTCCCAGGCTATGTAAAGGAACGGGGAGCTGAAATGATTCATAAGACATGACCCCTGTCCTCCAGGGGCCTCCAGTTGTGGGAGTGCCAGAGGTGACTGGGTTACAACTTTACAGCTTACAGGTTACGTATTTACAAAGTCAGAATCCAAGTGGTCTGTTTGATTTCCATGCTAAGACTGAGTCTCCTTTCTCTGACCATTCCCCAGCCTCTGTGGGCCTGTCTATGGGGTCTCCTTCACATGGGATGCTTTTCTTTATCTGCTCACCTGTTCTTTCCCTGCTACAAAACCTCTATTCATTTCCTAAGGCCCAACTCATATGTTGGCCTCCTTGAAGCCTTCCACCTACCTCTTCCCCAGGCCAAGTTTTTGACGCTGATACTATAAAACTGTGTGCATGGTGTTTCATACTTTGAGCACAGAGCATCAGAGAAAAATAAATTCACTTCCTCATGAACTGTAACCTCATAGAAGGCATAAGATATAGATATATAGATACACCCACCCACACACACACAAGTGAAAGGGTCATATGCATGCTTCCCAAACTGTAATCTCTGGAAAAAAATTCTCATGATCAAAATGCGAAACAGTGTATTCTAGAACTGCAAGCATATGCAAGTCCCATTATCTCATTTGGGACTTTGGCAAGTCCTGCGAACATGAGACTCATTCAACCTAATGTCCCTCAATTTTTTATTACTTATGGAACCCCTTTCCATGGAATACCTAGCAACATTATCTTAAATGGTAGTGTTCCATGGAATGCAGTTTGGGTAATATTTAGTTTAAATCATAACACACAAAAGTACATGATTAAACACCAGGTTTAATGAATCAGATGGCATGTGTTAATGGTTCTAAGGTCACTGTGAACTGGAATTGTTAGAGAGGACTTCTGGAAAGAGGAAGATGTGAGTTGAGGCCTCTAACAAGTAGGGTAGGCTAACTGCTTATCAAACAATCCCCAAAGCTCCATGGCTTAACCCATTGAAAGGTTATTTCCAGTGTAGGTCAGAAAGGAAATTGCTCCACACAGTCTTGCAGAGACTAAGTCCCTTCCACTAAATGGTTGCACCTTCCTTCAAGTCCTCAGAGCCCTTTTCATTCTGCCAGCACATGGGAAAAGGGAGTGAGAATCACTCCCAGGTCTTTATGGGTCAGGTCTGGAGGTGACTCAAAACCTTCCCTCAAATTTTATTGATTGCAGCCCAGTCACATGGCCACTATGAACTTCAAAGAAGACTGAGAAAAGTGGTTGAGCAGTGTTCTCTGAAAGAAGGATTAAACACAGATCTTGGGGAGCCTCTGCCACACAGACCTTAAACCCAGAGTTCCCTATTCCAGTTCCCCTGGTGCCTACGCCAGTGTCTAAAGCTGAAGATCTGCACTGGGGGGCTTTCCAGGGGATAAAATATTAGTCAACACACTGTCCTTTCTTCTACTACCTGAAGCGTTCAAACTGTTTTTCAGTCTTTCAGATACAGATATTGAGTTTCTCTTCTCTCCAGAAAGAGCCTTGCCCTTTCCAAGAGCAGGGCTATATTTCTAGTGCTTTTCTTCTCTTCCTTTCTCCCATTCAAACTTCTCCATCCAAGGGCCCCATTAGAGTCTGTTGTAAGGATGTCAGTCATCAAAGACTTGTTGCATTCCTTCCAAGTTGCTCTGTCAAGGCATCATTTAAAAAAAGTTAAAAACAACTGTCATACAGGTATATAGTCAACATTTGTCAAAAATCCATTAACTCAGTAGTGAAGAAAGCAGCCAGATGACAACACTGGTGTGAAGGAAGCTACAAAAGACCAAAGTATGGATGGTCATTGAAAAATCTAGTGCTGGAGCAAGCTCACAGAGATTGCTATACAAGTG